AAAAACCTGGAACMCGGGATGTTTTAGGGGTGTTTTCTGAGCCTGGAAATGGCTGGTGAGCGTCAGCCTCTTGACAGATTGTGGAAGTGCACAGCAGTGAGTGAAGAGGGTAAACACGAGATGAATCACTCTTGTCACAGGACGTTCCCACCGAGCTTATAGGAAGGAGCYATGGGGCTGGGGTGGCACGCTGCTCGCGGCCTCCACCAGACTTTAAATCTCCGTCTCTGCAGCCAGGGATGTTTGTTGGCAGGATTCTCTGAAATTTATGGAGCTGCAGAGATTCTGGTAAAACACAAGCGGCAGGATGGTGGCYTTGAATGAAGTCGAATAAACAAGATACCACTTCATTCCAACATCTATTGAAACTATCAAAGCCTTAAGTGATGTTTTTATGTGTGTGTGGACAAGTTTTTGCTACCATTTTCCAAAAAAAAAAAAAGAAAAAAAAAAACACAGCCTTGTGGGAACCCAATATTCTTTATGGGAACCAAAGCCTGGTCCCCACAAGTACAGATGAGGATGTTGTGTGGGGGTTCACCTTTTATCCTTTGATGAAATGTTGCTCACCTGATTGGAGTGGCTCTGTTCTCTGGCTGTTTTATGTGTGTGTGGACAAGTTTTTGCTACCATTTTCCAAAAAAAAAAAAAAAAAAAAAAACACAGCCTTGTGGGAACCCAATATTCTTTATGGGAACCAAAGCCTGGTCCCCACAAGTACAGATGAGGATGTTGTGTGGGGGGGTTAGGTTTTAGAGTAAACAGGGTCAGGGTTTGTAAATTACTTTTGTTTGAATACATTCTGGGGATAAAAGGATATTATAAGATTTAGTCATCTTCTGCTGCTTTTTATTTGATTTGATTTTTGATTGTATATTTTAATTTTCTATTGTATAGTTATTTTTTATGAAAAAAAATCATTGGTCAAATTTAAGATTAGTGTGCTTAAGCAACTGAATAGTTAACGTGTATTTGAGGTCATAATGATGGCTCCTCTTTATTTATAAGGCCATTTATCATCCAATAATTATCACTTTTACTCTAAACATTTGATTAAATTTAAGTGGAATCTTTTTATGTCACATTATTTCGGTCACTGTTGTACTTCTACCACCAGAGGTCAGGCTGTTTCAATTCAACTTGGGTAATCAAGTCTTTTGGAACCTTACCAAAGAAGTAGTCTAAGTGTCCTTCACTTTACGTTTTTATGTACTTATCAGAGATATACATAAAGTTTATGTTACTTATACTTGGCTTATGCTAAAATATGCTAAAGGTCTGTGGTCAGTAAAAGTAAACTTGGGGAAATAATCTTAGTGTACTTAATATTAACTTTTTGTTGTGCACAGATTGTTTATTCTGCAATGATGTTGCTGTTTTTAGTCTACTCTGGCTGAAGTGTATTGATCACAATGCACATTACAGTGAACTGTGATTCACCTTGACTACCATACAGAGGTTTGTGCTGATTTGTAATTTCAACAGAGCTGCAGAATTAAAAAACATCACTGTAGTTCAAAGGAAACAGTTCTGATTTAATTTAATCAATCAATCACCTTTATTTTGGGATCTGTGCACATAAAATGCTTCCAGGTTGCAGTGCAGAAGAAGGAAATGTTAAAAAAGAAATGAGCACGTGGAGCAATCTTTGTGTCTGTTGACTTTTTTGTTCTGAACCCAGTCATTCAAGCCTGTTTCATGACTGTGTAGACCCATCAATGGTTGTTGGTGTTTTCCAGTCAGTTTGTTGCTGTTTGATGATGAGAACGTTGATGTTTAGTGTGGACAGTGGAACCCTTCTCAACAACTTTGTTAAAGAGTTCTTCCAATTTCAGATTCTTGGTGGAGATGCCCAGGAACACGGTAATTACTTACTACACGTAGGCCGTCTCACCTTTTTTGGTGATAAGGCCGAGGATAATGAGGTCATCAGCATATTTCACAATTTTAACATAAGGGCGAAGATCATTGGTGCACAAACAGACAGGGAGTGAGTACACATCCTTGTGGTGCCCCCATGTTGTAGGTAGGTAGTTATTCAGATTAAATCACCAGTTTTGTCATAATACAAAATTATATCGATTTGTTTGGATGACAATACGTTTCTCAATTTCACAGTCTGTCATAATATGATTTAAATTTGGTTKAATTAACAAGTCTGCAAGTGATACGGCACTCTGGGCATTTGATGAAAATATGGATCAGTGTTTTTCATTTTGCATTAATGAAAACAAATCATTAATCATTTAATCAACGTTTTTTACACCCCTACTCATGTTAAGCTTCTTTGGCACCAGGGTGATGATAGCTCATTCTTTAGAAGTAGATATAGGCTTGGTTGTTTCAAATATAGCCAACCTTAAGAGCTACCCTGCATGACCAGAGGAAATGCATATAATGGAGCTTTCAAAGCCAGTGAAACATAATTTTCTTTCTCAAAAGGGGCCTAAAGACAGGAGGGCCTCTCAGTGCTGCTGCCATGTGATACAGAAGACCGCCGAGGTTTCACATGACAGTCACCAAGAAAATGATCAGCCTTAAGAGCTTTCTCCTGGAGCCTTACACACACAATCATTTAGACAAAGTGGGACAGAGAGCAGTTCCTCACTCATCGGGGATCCATTCAAGTTCTCCGAGCGATTGCAATCTCATTAAGGACTAGGAACGCTTCGGTTAAGAGTGATCGTCAAAGCGGAGCCAGGTAATAATGAATACCTCCAAGTAAAAAAAAAAAAAACATCCTGTTTGCATGTTGGACAGCAGAAATCGTCTCGTCTTCCAAAGAAAACCCAAAGCCAAAATCAAATAGCAGATCACAATTTTATTTACTGAATAAATTTGGACAAAACACCAGAATCTGTTACATTACAATCAGAACATGAGGCAGATATCCCACCATGCATCACCCCCCCCACACCCTTTCTTCAAGGAATAACAATAACAAAAAAAGACTAAACATTAGCACTAAATCAGCACCAACTTAAATAAAAAGGTAGCTCAGTCTACAAAAAAAAAATAAAAATCAAAATAATTACTTTTTTTTAAGTGAAAAGCAACCCAGAAAAGAAGCAAATCAAAGATTTCTCTTCTTTTTCTTATTAGCTTAGTAGAAAAACGGTGAACCGAAACAAGCGTCCTCCGCCACCCCCCAACCCCACCCTCTTCCTCGACAGGAAAGCTATAGCATTCACGGAGCACATGCCAATGACCAGGTCTTTAAAACAAAAGATATATAAAAGAAAAGAAAAAAGTTCAAGTATTGTTGAAATACAACAAAACGCGTCCACTGGTACCCATTCTGAGCGAGATGGTTTCACAGAACCAACACAGACTAACGAGGTCATGGTTAGACCATCTCATAGCAAGACTACCACTGAACATCTGCTATCAGTTTTGTATAGAAGTGAGGGGGGCTGGGTGGGCGTGGCCTGTTGGCGGCGGGGGAGGGGGGGGTGAGACGCGTGAATACTGGCATAGATGAGTTTTTCAAAAACTTCGGACGGTCATTTTTTTTCTCTCCTGCCCTGTGTCAAAGATATTGCCTACGTCATGTGAGCGTAAACCAAAGGAATCTCTCGGTAAAGAAATACCCTGCTATGTAGCTTTAAATATATATTTATTTATAGATATTTATATCTGTTACAATTTAAATAAACGATTACCTTCTTCGTTCCTACAACTGAAAGGTGGATTTAAGTAATGGAAGCTAGTTTTTAGCYAGGCGGAACTGTCCGTTAAACCTAACACACCATGTGCTCGATGACATGTTGGGGTGACTACGAAGGGGGAAAAAAAGGAAGATTGAAAAGAAATTAAAAGGAGCAGGAAGAGATGAGAAAAAAAAAACAAAGCAAAAGAAATCATTGGTTTAGGTAAGTTACGAAACGAAAAGCGAGGCAGAGTCTGTAACTGAGGCCACCAAGGAGTTTGGTGACTGTCAGAATATTCTGTAATGCAAAACCGAGTAACATGAAGCTGAACCGTTAAACAAAAGGTGAGGTCAAAGTTTTTTGTTTTCTTTTTTAATAATGAAGATAATGACAAAAAAAAACCCCAAAGACTTTTAACAAATGATCCCAGGTCAGGAGTAATTGCCTTGTGTATCCGTTCAGGAAAAGAATCCAGGAGTTTCCGTTTCTGACTCTGGGTCTGTGGTTTTAAGTTATTACCAGCCACAGCTATGACAAAAAAAAAAAAAAAAAAAATCTCTACAAAACGGTGCGGTGCAGTTTGTCAGTCTGGAATCGTCCTCCTCCTCCAGTCAATATGTCCCTTCATGCTTTCAATAGTGTCAAAAGAAAGTGTCAGCTTCGATGAGCACCACATTAAACCTAACACAATCAAAAAAATAAACCAAAATAATAATAATAATAATAATAATAATAATAATAATAATAATAATAATAATAAAAAGATTTGCTACATCGTTTGCAACTTGCATGTCTGGCAACATCCTCGATCGGGGCGCGCTCTGCCAGGTGATGTACAGATGCCGTTTGTCATGCCAGGCTCAGGGTTTTCCATGAAATGGTGGAAAAAGGAAAACGGGATGAAAACACCTTTATTACAAGTGACAGACTCACCTATTTATTTCTAAACTACGGGGTTTTTTGGCTCTGCTGAGACCGTGGCGAGCAGACCGTGGCAAAGTCATGTGTTTGTGCTTTGTTGTTCTTTTTTTTTTGTTGTTTCGCTTAATTATCCGCTCAGCTCAAGAAATGCTCGAGCTCTTCTTCCATGTTCACCTCAGGCACCATTTGCTCCTGCTCCCGCTCCCCTCGCCCGTGCGCCTGAGACCCCCCCGGCACCCCGGAGGAGGTGAACCAGGGGTGCTCCAGTATCTCTCGGGAGGTGAGGCGCTCGGCGGGCTCGCGGCGCAGTATGGAGCGGATCAAGCACTTGGCCTTGGGCGTCAGCGTCTCGGGGACGTTGAAGTGGCCCCTGCGGATTTTGCTGAACAGCGAGCCCGGCTCGACGTCGTGGAAAGGGTAGCGGCCCACCAGGATGGTGTAAAGCATGACGCCGAGGCTCCAAACGTCGGCCGCCTTGCCCGAGTAGCTGCCGTTGGCGTTGAGGATCTCGGGGCTAACGTAGGCCGGGCAGCCATGTTTGTCCGAGAGCGAATCATCGTGACCAGCAAGGATGTAAGAGTCCTCCAGGCTCTCCAGCTTTACGAGGCTTCTGCAAAACAGAAGGGAGACAGAACCACAATGAAGTCTTTAAGAAAACAAAAATATACACTGACTCATGTGTCATTAATTCAACACACTTTGCAAAGTAACAAAGGAAAAAACGGAGCAAAAATTAAACACATGACTGGAATAAAAAACGTTCCCTTGAGCAAGAAACACATTCCTTCTTTGTGAGATGAAGAACCATGTGAATTTTGTCAGGGGTGGTAAAAATCTACCTTTAGATGCACCGCAGACATGGAAAATTCTTTTTTAAATGTCGAAAATACCTAATTTGTGCTGCCATTTAAAGAGTCAGCAGAGCAGATTCTGCTTGGTACAATTTGTCCCAGTAGGGATACCGTAGCTTCCTATAGTAGAAACATGATGCAGTAAAGCTGAATGTTTTTACTTTTTTTAAGACGTTGAAACATTTGATTAGCGTATAAATTTCCAGTGATAAGCACAATGCTAATCACCTTACCTTTTCTATGGAGTTTTCAATGTTAAGATAGCATATATGCTAACTAATAATCAGCAACACGAGAGTAATGTTTGTTTTTACTTATGTTTACGTATGCCTTTTGCTTAGATAGTAAAAATGTATAAATCAGTGTTTGTTTATGCACAAAAGAAGTCATTTAAGTTTTGAGATAATTGAAAAGCATTGGTAATAGTGTTATAATCATACTGCCGTGCTCCAAATTAGTCATGAGGTGCAAAAAAAAACCTATTTGAGTTGAATCAGAGGTGAGCGCACTGTTGGATATGAGCTCAACGGGACCAGTTTCCTTGAAAGGTCTGCTGATTTGATTTGATTTATTGATTCAACAGAAAAAGATTACTAAAAATCAAGCCTGACTCAGCATAATTGCTGTTTTACAGCAGGTTCCTGTTCTGCAGCACACTAAACACTCAGAAATACAGCATCACAATCACATCATTATACACCATAGACACAAAGACAAACAAGCATACCAAATTTCAGGAAGGCAGCATTTGCAAAATAGGACGTCTAAATATGAGCACAACAAAAAGTGTCCAGCAGATGGCAGACAAGATTCTTCTTAAAGGGCTGTAGTTTTGAAATGGACTTTATGCTTTGAGGAATGTCATTCCATGCTTTAGTATAAACATAGAAGAAAGACCTCTGGCCGTAACAGTTTTTAAAAGTTGGTAATATCAGTTGTCCTTTTGTAACAGATCTAGTTGAATGACCACTTCCAGAATTTGATTTGGGCAGCAATGCACAGAGAGTTCCATAATTGGCACCTTGGAAGATCTGAAAATATAAATTAATACCACTATACAAAACATAATTCTGAAAAGTCGAGGCATCAGACAATGAAAGAACTGTACAGTGATGAGTCCAACCAGGAAGTTTTGTATGAATTGTGAATTCATACAATACATACAATTTTTATGAATGATTGTGTAAAGGCTTACAGCAGCATGACAAAAATCAGGTCAAGAGGCTAAATCCAGGCAACTCGAATATCATCTTATGTCTGCCTTTTATTCATGCTACTTCTTCATTAACTCACCACAGCTTTTTGTCATAGATTTTAGAGGTTAAGAAGATCAGAAGGCTAAAGCTTTGGATTAAATCCCTGTACATTTGTGTCTAATAGTTCAGACAGGCAGAAACAAACATGCAAGTGGAGTCGTGGGAGACCATGTGGTGAATGTGACCCTGCTCTGACCTGTGCCATCCACTTGTAAAAATCACCAGACATCAATCATTTAGAAGGAGGTGGACCTTTGCTAAATATGATGCGGCTCAACTTCCCTTTTTTTTCCCACAGTACGTGCCAAAGAAATGACACCGCGCTCACGGACGAGTGCAACCGTGCTGCTCTGCTAACAAGGCAGCTCATCTAAGAAGCTAGTTCGTTAGCATCTACATGTGAGAATGGATTTAAGATATAAACTCGAATCGCTACTTAAAATATGTGACCCATCATATCAAAATGAGGATTAAGTCGAATTTGGTCTATTAGATTTTCAGATTTCTACTTTAAAAGCTACATTTTGATACCTGGATCGTTCTGATATCATAAGCTTAACCAGAGATATGACTTAATTTGTCTTGTTGGTTAAGATAATACATTACTGTTTGGTCTGAATCCTAATTTTATGTAAATTTATTGAGTAATTTTTGATGTTAATATAAAGAGGAAACCTCAAATATTATTTGTATATTTAGATTTCTTAATTGGAAAACACTGCTAGTTCACAGGGAAATAATCTAATTTTGAAGGTGTTTTTCCTCAAAATCAGGGTTTTTGTTGCTACTGCTGAAAAAAAGTGTTTCAAAACGTTTTTTTAGGTTTGTATTTCCGACAGCTCTTTCAAATGATACATTGATAAGGCATTAATTCATTATATTTTGACAAAATGCAATTTTTGCACATGTTTAATCTGCCTGTTTCTGCACGTCCCACTTTTGGACTTAATCCTCGTTTCGATGGGATGGCTCACATTTATGCTGCTTTACGATTATTGCTGTAGCAACAGATTTATGTGTAATAACGAAAAMCTGCCACCAGAGGTCAGTACTGAGGAATTCTTTGTTAACAATACTTGAGGCGCTGGGCTTGACTGATCATCTGCCTGTTAAAAACCTGCCCTGGTAATTTATATGAGCAAGCTGTTCAGTTCAGCAGTAGCGCTGCTCTTGGGTTAGGTAATGGTTATACCCACATGTAATTTCATCTATACATACACAGTGTGTGTGATATCCCCTCTAATAAACCCCACGCACAAAAGCAACCGGGGCAGATACATTTAGAAGAAACACATCCGTCACTCTTATTTTGTCTCAGCTTACTCCTTCTTCTATGCAAGACAGAGTTACAAAATCGTGGTACAAAATGTACAGAGGAAGGGGAAAAAAAGGCCTGAGGTGGAAGGTTTTCCACGAAAACCTACCTGTCCTCATTCTTGAAGACAAACTTCCTCAGTTTGAGGTCACGGAGGACCAGCCCGCTGTCGTGGCAGTGCGCCACGGCCGAGGCTATCTGAAAGAAGAGCCGGGCCGCTTCGTCCTCCCGCAGCTTCTTGCAGGTGCGCACGAACGAGTGCATGTCGCCGTGGCTCCGGTCGAAGAACACGTAGGCTCGCGTCTCCCCGAGCAGGATCTCCAGGATCTGGTTGATGTGCGGATGCTGGCCCAGGGCGAAGTAGGCCGCCAGCGACTCCTGGTAGCGGCCGATGTCGAAAACCTGCGATGAGAACGTAAAACTGTAAACTGAGAGCGGAACGATGCATAATAAACCATCAAGTAAGTCAGGCTTAAAGGAGGAGGCGGCGAAGGGATCGATGGCGTCATAATACTGCATGGCGTTGTGCTGCAGCCTAGGGTTGCGGTGCCTCTTTTTGTTTCCATGGCAACACCTTCCCCACACCCRAATTGACTTTCAGTACATCCAGTTCAGGTGAGACGGCTTCGCACTGCCTGTAGTCAATACCAGTAACACCCCACAGCCGAGACTCTAAACTGCCTGACAGTAATGATCAACACTAAGTGTGCAGGCGTTTGTTTGTGTGTGCGTGTGTGTGTGTGTGTGTGTGTGTGTGTGTGTGTAGCAGATGGGGTCAAAACAGCAGCTAGCTCGCACGGCAACAACAGAAAATTATCTCTGGAGTCAAAAAAGGTGCAGGCTCGCCGGATGTGTCACGCTTTTTTATGAGTCCAAGGGTGCACACATTGCAACTGCGGTCCGGATCAATCGGTCCACAGGAACTGGGTGAAAAGCCCCAGAGGATCCGATGTGGGATATGGAAAAGTCAATACGGGGTTACAGAAGCAGCCCACAAGGTTGTGTCTCAAGGTTAAACTGGGGGATTCCTTATGTGTCTGCATTCAACACATAAATAACACAAATCACAGATCACAGCATTCAGTGACAGAGAGAAGGCAGATTCAGCAGAGAGAGAGAGGGAGTGTGTGTGTGTGTGTGTGTGTGT